GGAGAGGAGAACCTGCTATGAGTTGAAGTCCTGGTTTTCCAGAAGCCAATTTGGATGCCTCTGCTGAGACTTCAGGCTTGGAGGACAGGAGAGGAGAACCTGCTATGAGTTGAAGTCCTGGTTTTCCAGAAGCCAATTTTGATGTCTCTGCTGGGACTTCAGGCTTAGAGGACAGGAGAGGAGTTAAGGGAGATGAACCTTTCCCAACCACATTGCCTAGTTTGGGGCCACCTAGATTAAAAGGTGCTGACAGCAGGCCATTTTTGGGAGGCAAGGAAGCCAATGGAGACACCACTCCTAATAGTTGACCTGCTTCTGGTTTGGTTCCTTTGGCAGAAGATGGATGGACCAAGTTACTGACACTGTCCAAAGCCTCAGAAAATCCTTGGAGAACCTCTCCACCTGCCTCCAAGATTGGACCATTTGATTCACCCAAAGTATCACCAGTAGAAATATGGTCACCCAAAACAGAGTTTTCTCCACTTCCACCATCGATGGGATTTGCCAAATTGCCCTGGTTATCTGAAGATGGTTGAGAAGAATCTGGAGCACCAACATCCTGGCTCATTCCTTGGGCGGCCAAATTCCCATCCGAAGATACTGAGCTGGAGATCGAGGTTTCTTCTGAAGATTTAGAAACCACGGCTCCATCAACAGACGATTGTCCACTCATTGAATCCGAATTTTCTACAAATTGCTCGGCTATATTGTTTTGATCTGGACCTGTTCCTGTGGAAGAAGTGGGTCCTTGGGCACCTGCTGTTCCTAGGTTGGTAATCTCCTTCCCTCCATCGGTGGAGAGGGATGGTTCTCCATCAACCAGGTTTTCAGAGACATCCTTGCTGACCGATGTCCCAGGGGATTGTGGTTCAGTGGACGATGGAGCTACGGATAATTGTTTCTCACTTACAATTGAATTGTCTTCAGACGTCTCTGCTCCTTCCCCTTCGGTTGCCACGCTATCTGGAGATCCTACATTATTTGATGACCCTGCATTGTCTGTCTCCTCTCCTGGAGATAAGGAAGATTGTCCATTCTCAAGGCCTCCAAGAAGGTTTTCATTGGCAGATGTTTCTGGAAATTGTAATTCTGTGGCTGGTGGAACCAGAGAAGCTTGGTCCCCACTTGCAATGGGGTGGCTTTCCGTTGGTTCTGCTCCCTCAGATGCAAGAAAATCTCCTGGTGATGTTCCATCTGCTGATAGCTGAGATCCCTCATCAGTTGTTGACTTTCTGCTGGCAGTTCCCACCTCTTTGGTGGAAGATGAATCTTCTAGGGACCCTTGAGTGGATGGAGACGAAGGTCCCTTTTCCTCAGGCACACTGGAAGACACTTCTGGTATCTCTGCCCCATTGGGAGAGGGTGTCCCTGCTGCTGAGTCTCCATCTAGAGGGAGTTGAGATCCTGCATTTGTGGCTGTGTTGCTAGTTTCTTCTTCGTTGGAAGAAGAGATGGCTTGTGGTTCTGGAGCAGACGCAGTTGAAGATCCATCACTCGTTCTGGAGACTTCTGGTGTTCCTGCCTCTTCAGAAACTGTAGCTCCACCTGGCCCAACCCCGTTTGGAGACGACAGAGGTTCTGTGTTAGTTGCTGGTTCTGAATTGACTGCTTCCATCCCATCTCCACCGCTAGGTTTTCCAGAGACCTCTAGATCTTCTAGAACCGTTGATGATTCTGTGGCTGGTGAACCTGGGGAAGTCTCTCCCTCATTGGCAGAAGAAGAGTTTTCTAATTGTTCCAGCCTGTTGGACACGTCAGATGTTTCAGTGGCTCCACCCGCCACGGATGGCTGAGCTTCTGCATTATTTGTTGCCCCTGGACCAGCCGTTTCCAACTCTTCCCCAATGAGAGAAGATCCCTCACTATCCATTCCTCCAGAAACGTCCTCGCCACCTGATATTCCTGGAGATTGTGATGCTGTGGATGATAAGGTCCAAGACAATTTCTCCCCATTGTTGGAAGTATCTTCTACCGCTTCTGCACTCTTAGAATCTTGAAGCTCTGTTGTTGGCGAACCATCTAGAGATGGTTTAGATTCTGGGGGAGTCCTGGATTCTGAGTTGGCATTTTCCACTTCTTCAGAAGTAGAAGTTGAATGTAACTCTGCAGCTGATGGGATCAAAGGTCCTTCCTTCCCATTTACACCAGAGGCACCTTCTGATATCTCAGAACTTCCAGCGGTTGCAGATAGCTGAGCACCATCAGGAGGTAGCTGAGATCCTCCATTATTTGCTGACTCCAACGTGGCTGTTTCAGTCCTGTTATTATTTAGGGAGAGTTCTCCATCAATACGTCCTTCAGTATCCTCTTCACTGGTAGATGTTTTGGACTCCGATCCTCTGTCCAATGGATCTTGAGAAGATTTCTCACTGATCGTATTAGTGATCTCTTCAGAATCTTCTACTCCATCAGAAGAAGCCACACCTTCTGGAAGGACCTGAGATCCCTTGTCAGTCGCTGGAGGTGAATCAGCAGTTCCCGCCACTTCAACTGGGAAGGCAGCACTTCCATGGTTGAGTGCTCCAGAAAACTCACCGCTTTCTGAGGCTGTGGGTCCTTGTGACTCTGTGGTTGATGAAGCCAAAGGTGATGCCTTCTCACTAGCTACAGACGTTTGCAGTTGTCCTGTCTCTTTAGAAGTTTCAGGTGCGGCTTCACCATCTGGAGATGGCCGAGAACCCACCGCTGATGGCTCAGAGGCAGACGTCTCCGTTTCTTCAGCAGAAGAGGTTGGTTGTGGTGTTGCATTCTCAGAAGATACTGCTCCTGTTGATAATTGAGCATCCTCTCTTGGGACTGAGGTCTCTCCATCTTCTATAGGTGCCAGAGCTAAAATTCCTCCAACAGGTGAAGTTACTAATTGTCTCACAGGAAAGTCACTTCCAGGCTGACCATCGTTGCTTGTTGCAATGGCTGTTTGGGCTGATGAAGCTGACCTGGCATCATCTTCCTCGTCTCTACTCTCATATATCCCATCACCGCCTGGAGAAGAATCGAGAGTTTTGGATGATAGACCTGGGGAGGGTTCGCCATCTTCATTCTCCGAATTGGGAAGTATACCCTCAATAGATGCAGAAGATTTTTCCACTGAGGGTTCCTGAGTTTGTGTTGATGTCTCAGTGTCTACAAGGGGAGAAATTGTCCCAGATTGTACAGCTGGTTCATTTCCAGAGCTTGGAATACTGGTGTCCAGCGCATCTTCAGAGCTTAGCTGTTGTTCAGAAGATGAAGCATTGAATTTGTGCTGGGTATTGTCACCATCTACAAGAGGTTCCTCATCAACCCCTGGCTCTGAGGTAGATCCCATTTTATCTTCTTTAGGAGATAAGATTGGTCCATCGCTTAAGTCTCCAGAAATGCTTGGTTCCTCTTCTGCAAGAGCCGGCTGAGGGTTTATGATGGATGGAGCAGAGGAAGTTTCTTCTCCATTGATGGAAACGGAATCTTCTGGATCCTCAGAGTGTGTTTCCACATCATCTTCTTTTGGTGGTTGGGAAGACGTTGCCAGCGGGATCCCAGAAATTGAAGAGAGCTCTGTATCAGAAGGTGGGAGATCTGACACACTGTGATCTTCACCATTGACTTGTGTGTCTACCTCATCTGAGGAAACACTTGGGATGGGGCCACCGTTTTCAGAAGAAGAACCCATATTTCCAGGTGATCCACTGGGCAAGTCCTCACTTCCTTCTCTCTCTGAAGGTGGTTCATTGGTAGATCCAGGAGCTGAAGTTTCTGCAGGTGGTAGTTGAGCATTAGCAGCTCCTTCATTGTCCACAGGAGGAGAAGGAGGAGAATCTTCCACATCCCCTGAGCCCGTTTCCATGTCATTCTCTTTTGGTAGTTGAGAAGAAGGTTGGGAACCAGGCAACAAATTGGACGGAAGTTCTGTTGTGTCTGGTTCTGAAATTAGAGATCCAGAAAGTGCTTCATTGGGAGA